CCTAAATTTTACAATAAGGTAGTTTCACACCTATTTACTTAGCCCACACTGACCGTTGTTCATGTAGATATTATTATATGGCATTATAACTGACATAAGGGCGGTGTTCAATTTTTCTCTTGACTTTACAGGTACTGACCAATGTTTACAGATCATACCTACTTTTATATGTAGTGTAGTTAGTGGTACAAGACCGCTATGGAGAGGGCCCCTCCACAGCGGCCTTGTATCAGTAGAATTTTTTTCACTTTTATTACCATTTTTAAATCTGCAATGTATCTTAACTAGTACGACCATTCTGTAATGCTATGAAATCACATGATAGAATCACCAGGTTACACATTGAAATAAAGTCACGTGACTTGTGTGCTCAGCACGACGAAACTAGTTCAAGGTACCCTGTTGTCAATTGGACCTTACTCAGTTTCATTTTTGTATGCACGTCCCTCCATAACATCTATTGTCACTGTCTTTCTCTCACCAATGACTTCTTCCCAACTTTGTACTGTTCCCAAACTGTTCCCATATTACCACTTTCATTGCTAATGCAGTAGTTGGTCTTTGGATGTTGTTTGTATCTTATCATGTAGTATAAAATTGCATAGCAGAAGGTGTGAGCACTGAGCAGTTACATGACAGAGTATCTCGATTATTAAGATTTATATCTAGATATCATCCTAGATTCACCTGTTCAGGGATCTGCGAGACCTGTCAGAGTGCTGAGGCCACATTCAATTGCGTAACCTGTGCTGGTGACCATGGCTGGTGTCATCCTTGCTTGATCAGATCACATCAGTCATTACCTTTCCACAAAATTCAACTTTGGAACAGTATATGCTTCCAGGACGTCGCTCTTGCTGACCAGGGATTTATATGGTACTTGGGCCATGGAGGAGAGCCTTGCCCTTCACATGGAGCTTCAAAAATTTATGGGAATCAAGACGAGAGAGTGGATGATGTCACCGAGACAGGCTCCTTACCTTACAATACCACCCCTGTCACTATTGTACATTCATCTGGAGTCTTCACATACAATGTGTCATGTTGTCATTGCCCAGGATCCAATCCTCACCACCTGGAGCTCCTAAGAGTACAGCTATTTCCTGCCAGCTCCACACAGCCTGAGACTGCTTTCACCTTCGACGTACTGGATCATTGTCTCATTGATGCCTTGGAATGCAAGACTTTGGCCAGGAGCTGAGCCCCTTCAGTGACAAATTCTGTATTATACAGGTCACCCAACCTACATAATATCCCGTATAAGATGGGCCAGCGGACTATGGGCCGATGTTATGTATATCCCCGATGTTGACGGATGGGCCAGGAGGGATATTACTTCCAATGGAGACGTGTGGGCCCATCTATGCTGATATTATATATATCCTCGAAGATGTTGGGTGGGCCGATGTACAGGAATTATTTTGTACACGGGTGGGCCGAGGGAGCGGTGGAATATGTATAATATAGACGGGTGGGCCGATGTAAGGGTTTATTGTATAGACAGATGGGCCGACATACTGGAATTATTTTGTAGATGGATGGGCCTGAGGGAGTGGTGGAATATTCATTATATAGACGGGTGGGCTGATGAAGGGGGATGTTATATAGACAGGTGGGCCGAGGTAGTGAGATATCTGTCTGACATTCATGGATTACCAAGTCCCAGATGCCCAAAAACCGAATCCCATTGTGCAACATCCCACCCGAACACCTGAAGCTCAAGACTGGAAACTGGAAACTGGAAACTTGTGAAAATGTGTGAAATTTCTATTTCCTTACACCAAACACATGAACACCTGAACACCCAAAGCCTGAAGCTTGAAAGTCCATTTATCAAATCACCGAGTGCTGAGTGCTGATAGACCCGAAGCCTGAGTCCCAAAATCCGAAGCCCTGGAACCCAAAAACATGTATGCAAAATGTCCATTTTTCATTCATTGCACAAATCACCAAGTGTCAAGTGACAAAACCCAAAACTCAAGACCTAGTACACAAATCACCAAGTACCGAGTGCCGAGGGCTGAACCCCAAAGTCCGAAACCTGAAAACATGTATATAACATATCCATTTTTCAGTCATTGCACAAATCACCGAGTGTCGAGTGCCAAAACCCAAAACTTGAAACCCAGTATGCAACATGCCCATTTTTCATTTACATTGAACAAATCATCGAATGCCGAGTGCTGAGGCCCGAGGCCCAAACCCCAAACCCCAAAACCCGAAAATATGTATACAACATATCCATATTTCCCTCACTGCACAAATCACTGAGTGTCGAGCACCGAAACCCCAAACTCAACACCCAGTACACGTGACTACAAGTGGACATGAATTCTGTATTTGTATGTATTATCCATTGATGTAGGGTTCAAATAACTTGGGACTTGTATTGACTACCAAGTGTTGGGACTCGGGACTCGCTAGTCAATATAGGAAAATGATAATGAAAAAACAAAAATTATTATTATGCTTAACTTTCTTAATGAAGGTTGTAGTCCGAGTCTATGTGAGTGTATTGGTGGTCCTACCAAGTATTGGTACTCAGTGTAGTGATGTTTGCGGTGCTGTGCTTGGAACCACTGATTTTCATACTCATGTCATTCTTGTCAATTGGGGATTATTTGAAGACTACATTAAATGTTAGTCAGTGTCGAGTATGATAATGAATGTATAGTCATACCTCAGTCTGAGAACAAATAGACTGAGGTAGGATGATGCAGGTATCAGGATTATATATTTGTCTGGCATGTTAGCAATGATGTAAAGATGAGGCGTGCATTTGTACATGTGTGCAGTAAGTGAGCATAAAGATAAAAGAATGAATATTAATAGCGAGACTTGCACATTATGTTGAGATATCCAACATGACAAGCCTGTGATGGGATCAGAGACCTGGAATAACACCCATATATGTCCATTATAATAGCCCTAATAGTTTAGAAAGATACATGAAGGATTGATGCAATGACAGGCATATGTGTGAAATGTGACAATAGACATATTTTTACAAAGTCACATTTATAGATGATTCAGGCCAAAGATTTCATTAAAAATATGTAGGATAGATTGTAAACTACCTAAGGAACCCATACTGCCTACTGCCTTGAGGGTAGGGGGTGGGCGGAAGGGATATAGTGAAAACATGAGTTGACTCAGCATTAAAGTCCTATCATTGCTTCACTGACCATTGTCGATGCTTTGGGTCTTTGAAGTTTCCCACACTCCATTTCTTATCTATTTCACTTCCTCAGTAATCAATTCTTGGTGGATTTGTCTGTAAATTTCTGTCTATGATACTTGATATATTTTGAATGTACTCCAGGTTTCTGATCATGAAGATTCAATGTTTTGAAGGTATGGGCCCCTTATCAGGAGAAATGGCAAGTATGCACACTAGCTCACAAACTCCAGCCTATTGTGAGCTGATCTTGGTCATAAGAGGCAATAATATAAGCTATGCTCATTATATATTAAAAGGTTGGATCATGGATGCAAGGGCAAGATACTGAAAATTGTGAAAAATGTCAAAAGTGCAATGGTCTATGCTTACATGTAATAACACTGTCTGTAATATTCAATCATGCAAAAATGAGTAAATACGCACCAGTGGGGATAGATACGACTAGACAGGACATAGGAAGGATAAGTCCAATGCAAAAATGTTGGGTCCGAAACTTTTGGGTCAGGGTCAGGCGTCGGGATCAGGATTGGAATGTCAGGGATGCGTCGGACAAATACTGTTTAGCGTGAGTATCAAAAACACAGGTTTTGAGCCCAGTGCCACGACTATCATTACACCAGGTACCGAGTACTGAGTAATGAAATAACCAATTGACAAGAAAAGACTACCAATACACTCACCTTGACTTGGACTACAACTTTCATTAAGGGAAGTTAAGCATAAAAATAACTTTCATTTTTCATTCTCACCGATGTTTCGTATTTCTCTAGCTTATATCTTGGTCAAATGATAATCGATTAACAAGAAAAGACTACCAAAACACTCACCTAGACTCAGACAACAACTTCCATTTTTTCATTATCTTTGCCTATATTGGCTAGCGAGTCCTGAGTCCGAAGTACTGACACTCAGTAGTCAATACAATCCCCAAGTTGTTTGAACCCTACATCAATGGATAATACATACAAATACAGAATTCATGTCCATTTGTAGCACCGGGTATTGTGTTTCAGCACTCAACACTCAGTGATTTGTGCCATACATGAAAAATGGACATGTTGCACACCAGGTTTCAGCATTTGACACTTAGTGTTTTATGCAATGAGTGAAAAATGGACATGTTGCACACTGGGTTTCGAGTTTCGGGTTTTGGCACCCAACACTCAGTGATTTGTGCAATGAGTCAAAAATGGAAATATTGCATACATATTATCAGGTTTTAGGCTTCAGGTTTTGGGCTTTGGACATCGGGTTTTGGGCCTCAGACCTTGCAGCTCAGGCCTCAGCACTCAGCACTTGGTGATTTGTGTACCGGATGTTGAGTTTCGGGTTTCAGTACTCGACACTCGGTGATTTGTGCAGTGAGGGAAATATGGATATGTTATATACATATTTTCGGGTTTCATGCTTTGGGTTTCGGGTTTTAGATGTTGGGGCTCGGGCCTCAGCACTTGGCACTTGGCACTTGGTGATTTGTGTACCGGGTCTCAAGTTTTGTGTTTTGGCACTCGATACTCGGTGATTTGTGCAATGAGTAAAATATTGATATGTTGTATACATATTTTCAGGTTTCAGGCTTCGGGTTTCAGGCTTCAGACATCAGGGTGCGGGCCTCGGCACTCGGCACTTGGTGATTTGTGTACCGGGTTTTTAGTTTCGGGTTTCAGTACTCAACACCCGGTGATTTGTGCAGTGAGGGAAATATGGATATGTTGTATACATATTTTTGGGTTTTGGGCTTCGGACATTGGGGTTCAGGCCTCAGCACTCAGCATTTGATGATTTGTTTAATGTAAATGAAAAATGGGCATGTTGCATACCGGGTTTCAAGTTTTGGGTTTTGGCACTCAACACTTGGTGATTTGTGCAATGACTGAAAAATGGATATGTTATATTCATGTTTCGGGTTTCAGACTTTGGGGTTCGGCCCTCGGCACTCGGTACTTGGTGATTTGTGTACTGGGTCTCGAGTTTCAGGTTTTGTCACTTGACACTTGGTGATTTGTGCAATGAATGAAAAATGGACATTTTGCATACATGTTTTTGGGTTCCGGGCTTCGGATTTTGGGACTCAGGCTTCGGGTCTATCAGCACTAGGCACTTGGTGATTTGATAAATGGACTTTCAAGCTTCAGGCTTTGGGTGTTCATGTGTTCATGTGTTTGGTGTAAGAAAATAGAAATTTTACACATTTTTACGAGTTTCCAGTTTCCAGTCTCGAGCTTCGGGTGTTCGGGTGGGATGTTGCACAATGGGATTTGGTTTTTGGGCATCTGGGACTTGGTAATCCATGAATGTCAGACAGATATCTCACTACCTCGGCCCACCTGTCTATATAACATCCCCCTCCATTGGCCCACCCATCTATATAATGAATATTCCACCACTCCCTCGGCCCATCCATCTACAAAATGATTCCAGTATGTCAGCCCACCCATCTATACAATAAACCCTTACATCAGCCCACCCATGTACAAAATAATTCCTGTACATCGGCCCACCCATCTATACAATAAACCATTACATTGGCCCACCCGACATCTTCGAGAATATATATAATGTCAGCATGGATGGGCCCACCCACATCTTCGAGAATATATATAATATCAGCATGGATGGGCCCACCCGTCTCCATCGGAAATAATATCCCTCCTGGCCCATCCGTCAACATTGGGGATATACATAACATCGGCCCATAGTCTGCTGGCCCATCTTATACGGGATATTATGTAGGTTGGGTGACCTGTATAATATGGAAATATGTCACTGTAATATGTGTCATGAATGAGGTGGCGAAGATGATGCATTTCTTGTCAGTATCATAGATTTCACTATTGATATCAAGATAAGCAGATACTGCTAGGAGGTGTCATATCCCATATATCCACGCTTCTCATCCAGACCTCGGACCCTAGATCTGATCCGATATACAGATCCTCTTCCGTTCCGAGATACGATAAGCTTCCTATTCATTTTCTGTTCATATAACATTAATCACAGCCTATCCCTTCATTTGGTAT